CCCTCACTCCTATTAATTTTGTACAATACACAATGAATTCTGGACTGCATTCTCTTCCTCTCCTCTCCCTTTATTGGTCTAACACTGTATGTGTTTCTTTTCTTTTTTTTCTTTTTTTCCCCTTTTCAAAAATATTTTTAATTGTAAATACATTGTACAGAGGGTTTAAGTTACATGAGTAAGGTAATGAGTCCATTTCCTATGGAACTTTCTTACGCCCTCCATTGCTTTTCCCCTACTATTCTTTCCCTCCCCACTTTCCCAACTCCTCCCTCCACGCACCCCTGCCCCGAAGTTGTAGTTTGTTTTCAACATAGTGTCTTGTACATCTCGTTGTTAAAATGGGTCATCCTGTATCCTTATTTCAGCATTTTGTTATATCCCTTCCCCTCCCCAAATTAGAAAAATGTGTATACAAGATGCAGGGCGCTGGAATTTAATACAGTATAAACAGGAGTTATACCATGGGGGAAGAACATACAAAAGAAACAACCAAAAAAAATCACATAGTACTTTAAAAACAACAGTGACACAGAAAAAAAAAAAACAAACCTCTTGTGTCCTTATCTTGGGGTTCATTTCTCTTAGCATCATCTTTTTTATTGTGAAAATGCCATACTGAGGGGTTACAATTACAAGAGCAAGGTAATGAGTACATTTCTTATCAAGCATTGTTGCCTCCTCCTTTGTTGTTTCCCTTTACCATCCCTTCCCATCTCCCCCCACCCCACATTGTAAAGTTCGTTTTTTGACATAGCATCTTCTACATCTCGTTGTAAATGGCCACCTGTATCCCTATTTAAACAATTTGTTTTTTCCCTTCCCCTCCACAAATTATACCAACATCAAATACAGTGAAACCAGGGGGTGTATTGTGAGGGAGGGACATACAAAGCAACAAAGAAATATCTTATAAATATGTTAGACACAATAGCAAGAAAGAAAAAACATTTGAGTCCTTATCTTGGGGTTCATTTTGCCTAATATCAACTTACCTGACCTTTTCTGCTTGACTCAGACATCTACTAGTTATTGCAAATAAGGGAATCCATGGGACCTATGTTTCTTTGGGCCTGGCTTACTTCACTTAATATAATTTTTTCCAAGTCTTTCCATTTCCTAACAAATGGGGCAACGTCATTCTTTCTGACGGAGGCATAGAATTCCATTGTGTATATATAGCACCTTTTCTTGATCCATTCATCTACTAAGGGCCATCTGTTTTGGCTCCATATCTCAGCTATGCTAAATAATGCTGCAATAAACATTGTTGTGCTGGTAGTTTTAGTGTGGTCTTGTTTGTGATCATTTTGGTACATGCCCAAAAGTGGGATTGCTGGGTCATTGGGGAGCTCTATGTGGAGTCTTTTGAGGAACCTCCATACTAGTTTCCAAAGCAGTTGAACAAGTTTACACTCCCACCAACCATGAATAAGGTTCCCTTCTGTCCACATCCCTCCCCTCCAGGATTTGTTGTTATTAGAGTTCTTATTATAGCCATTCTAACTGGGGTGAGGTGGTATGTCAATGCTGTTTTGATTTGCATTTCTTTTATGGCTAGGGAGGTTGAGCATTTCTTCATGTGTCTATTGGCCATCCTTCTTTCCTCTTCAGAGAAGTTTCTCTTTAAGTCTTTAGCCCACTTATTTATTGGGCAGTTGTTTCTTTGAGGATTTGTTGTTGGGGACTTAATTTTTTGAATTCCAGGTATATTTTAGATATGAGACCTTTGTCTGTTGTATGGCTAGTGAAGATCTTCTCCCTTATATGGTCATATGTACATAGTTTTTTACCTTTTATGCTTGTCTGATAAGATTATTCTAGACATGCACCAGTTACTGCAAATAAGGGAAACCATGGGACCTATGTTTCTTTGGGTATGTCTTTCTTAAAAGAAATTCTCCTGAGGAACTCTTGGATGTGATACTTCAACTGATCTGCTTCACAAATCTTTTATTTACTTATTTATTTTTTTAATCGATCATGGGGCCTGAACTCTGGGCCTAGGCGCTGCCCCTCCGCTCTTCAGCTCAAGGCTAGCGCTCTACCAATTGATCCACAGTTTCACTTCTGTTTTTTTCTGCTTATGTGGTGCTGAGGAATCCAACCCAGAGCCTCATGCATGGAAGGCCAGCGCTCTACCCCTGAGCCACCTTCCTAGCCCTTCACAAATCTTACAATCATTATGTTAATAACCTAATGAAGTGAACATGCTGATTTGTCTGTGATATAAAAATAATCCTCAAAGTATTCCCAAAGTAGATATTTACTTATAATTGTATCAGACTTGAGGTACTTAGAATTGCCTTAAGATTCTATCTTTAAATAACAAGGCTAGAGGGCAGTTGGTAGATTTCTAGGACATTGTTGCATTTTTTCCAGGCACTCAGGCTTCAGTCAGGTTTTTTCAGAATAATTTGAGTCCTGGGAAACTATAATTATCCTGAAGCATACTACTTACACTGTCTTATTTCTTAATTACAGTAGCGACATGAGATAAATGCATACTTATTGGCATCAAATGCATATTATTTTGTGGTGATTATAAAAGAAGTTCTCGGGACAAAAATTGCAATTAGATGGCTGTCAACTACTGATACTGTGGTATGTTCTAGAAAGTCTGTAATTAAGTCCTGCAGAGAGGACACTTCCTATTTGAAATAAAAGAGCTTAAGAGTGAAGGATTGGCCAATGTACAAAGCAAGGACACAGAAGCCCTGAGCTTGTTTAAATGATCCTACATGAATTGCAAGTAAGTTCCCTGTGCCAACTAACATGGGAGGATTTCATTCGAATTTCTACCTAGACATGCTATGTAAGAATATCCTTTTAAATAGCCATTGTCATTTTTTGACCTTAAGAATATATATCTTTGATTATAACACTAAGGGAGTAGGGATTGGACAAGAGATGTGACCATTGTGATTACCTTCAAAAATAAGTTTTCTTTCCCTTGGTAGGATGTAGTCATTTCAAACCCTCATTGCCTTAAGAGTTTGCATTTAAGATTGCAAAACAAATCCCTTTGCATTTCTATTTCAAAGAAAAAGCTTCAAGTTGACACGATACTACTTCTATAGCTTCTTCACTCATTTCTATATACATATGTTATCTTTTTTTTCAAAAAAGGCAAATGGAAAATAATGATGGACATACTATTCAATATATAGTGTTGACCGGGGGAAGGCAGCAGGACTATTGGAAATTGGATGTGAGAATCTGATCTCCCAGGTTTGAATTCCTATATGGAGCCAATTGGACCTAGTTTCTTCATCTGCAAAGGGTCAGCCAAAGTACCCACCTTGCAAAAGCATCACGAGGTTTGATTGTATTTGTGAAGGACTGGCTTAGAACTATGCCTGCTGTAGTGTAGTAGTACTATATAATTTTTAAGTATTTTTTTTTTATAATTTAGGGGCACTAAGGACAATAAGCAAGTTCTCAACATCTCCTTTTCAATTTTAACAATGTTTTAGGAATAACTTTGTTATTTTGTTACACTTTTCTCAAAGGATCCTTTTAAGCAGGTTAGCCAAACAGAAAGATATTTTTCCCCCCAAATAAGGGTATTCAAACAATGACACTTCTGTCTTTAATAATTCTGTGACAGGATATTGTTTATTACATTCTGGTGCAAGATAATACTTTTTTTTTTTAAGATAAAAGACCTCTGTTTGGGGCATTTACTGTTACACGATGACATATTCTATTTTGAGCAGAGAAGGCTTGCAGGATAACCTTTGCTGTAGTTATTTTTGTAAGAAATGAACATTGATAACAAGAATACCATAAAAGATTTATTTTTTCCTTCCAAATAACCAAAGTAACCGTATCGAGTCATATAATCCCAAATGAGAAAGTGAGCATCCACAGAAAATATTGGCCCTGAGCCACTTTGACTTTTACTCTAAAATGTTTTACTCTTCAATTTCAGATATTTACCTTAGTATTATTAACAACTAGTAATATTAGTTTAATAACACAGTTAAGAAATTAGTTCACTATAATACTTCAGTTAAGTGTTTATATATGCATACAGACAGAACAAAAGGAATTTCTAAAACACATTTAAAAACAATCTGAGGGCTAGGAACAAACCAAAAATGCTCTTAGAAAATGATGAAGTCTCTTTCTATGAGATGGCATAAGCAGTCCCTGTAATTTAGATGAATTTTATGCAATTTCTCCTTTGTTTAGTATTTTAAGTTCCTGCTTCAGTGACTCATAGCCTGTGTGCTGGAGCTTGCCTTTAATAACATTCAAATTATTGGTTGAATAATCTAGTTTTTTTTATTTTCCTTAGTCTTTGGTGTCAAAAAGAACAACACTGAAATGTCACAGCTTTTTAGAGTTAATATGCAGTCTGAAAAGTTGCTATAAATATATGTGCAAAGGTTGAGAGTTTTTTAATTAAATTAATTTTCAGTGGGTCCATCAAAATATAAAAATTATACACATTAGTGGAGTGGTATGATATTTAGATACATGTATATATCATTTTCTTTTAACAGCTTAAACACATAAATCTCCTCAAATATTTCCCAATATACTTTACTTCATTGCAAAACAAAACAAAATCACCATTAGGCCACAAAGACACAAATTCACAGCAAACTCATTCCATTTTAACTTTTATTTTATCTACATCTAAAACGATCAGTAAAAAAATGTTTTGTTTTATAACCAATCTAACTGGCTCCTTACTAGTCTAGAAATGAGTAGATTTGGGTATTTGATATCGGTTTCACAATAAGAAAAAATAAATAAAACTTACATTGAATATGATGTCTTACTTTGAGCAGTGAGAGAATGCCATATCTTCAATGTTAAACTTAAGTGGTATATTCGTACGAAAGTCAAATGCATGGTGCTGTCTAAAATGTTAATTAATTTTATCTCCATGCAAGTCTTAAGTTCAGTAAGGTACTTCTTGGAGCTGCTACTGTCAGTTTTGAGTCTAAGTCTATTATATTATGAGGTCATTTTTATTTGTCTTTCAGATCAGTATTTTCATGACCCATTTATCTAACTATGGAAATGACCGCCTAGGGTTATACACCTTTGTGAACTTGGCTAACTTTGTGCACAGTTGGACCAACCTGAAACTACAAACTCTGCCTCCAGTGCAACTAGCCTACAAGTACTTCGAGCTCTTCCCTGAGCAGAAAGATCCACTGTGGCAGGTAACTCTTCCATATCATTCCTTTAGCCAATGGTATTATTCTCTTCAATAATATGTTTGCATGTTTCTTCTTATGGATTTTAGTGCTTATCTTTTTTGTTATTTCTTCAAGCTTTCTGTTTACTTGATTGTTTTGAAGATTTTGCATCAAGGATGATGTTTTAGTGGGAGTGTTTCTCCAAGCTAATAAGTTAAGTTGTTAAGTTGCATGTTGCATGAACATGAGCTCTGAGTAAAATGCTTAGCATCGCATGAGAAGAGGGACAAACACAGAGCCACTTCCTTGTAAGAGCCAATTGCCAGGTTTTCATGTACATGAGTGATTTTTACCTTGTATATTTACTGTCTCCAGCATGTCTTTTTTTTTAAGTACAAGTTATTTTCCACTAACACTATAACTACTGGTAAGAGAGAGAATTGTTAGGTTTAGGTCTGCTTTTACTAAGAATTCAGCATCATGCGGAGCCATTCAGCTGGGTCCCATCAAATGTGAGCTATCTGCTTACTAGCAGTTAGCTAGGAAATTCTGCCTCCACTTGCTTCTTTCTTTATGCATCAGGTTGCATCGACCCTCTCGATCAATAAGCTGCAAAAAGCAGATCAGATGTCCCCTACTAAGGAAAGAACTAGCCACATCATTAATGAGAAATTACCATGAATCAGACTGTTTACCATGTTCTGTTCCTCTCTCTTCAAAGCTATCTTTTTTTTTTTTTTTTTACCAAATGTGTCAGGTTCCATGCTGCTCTGACTCCACCTTCAAGAATTTATCCAGCATATGTTTATTGAGCATGAGGCTCCTTGCTCCAGAGTATACAGCAAAGGAGTTTTCAATGACATAGGTTTTAAAACGGACTGCTACAATAAATCCTGTTTCATTCTAATTCTTATTCAGTAGCCCCCCAACCATTTTGTGTTTATAGTAAACTTCATATTCTGATTGTTTTATTCTTCTAGTAAGTGCTTGATCTTTCTGTTTAACACAGCAGATAAATAGACAAAGAAATAGAGGTGTAATTGTTATGAATATGAAAAGACATTCCAAACATTGAATTTTATGAAGGAAAACTATGATGTCTGATAATTGCAGTTAGTGACTCACAAATATTTATACAACTGATGGAACATTGATTCATTGAATCATGGATTCATGAATCATTCTTTTTGGTTACACATGATTATATAGGAGACATCCATAATATCTGGTAAGATAATAATAACAATGCACCTAACGTTTCCTGATAATGTTTTCTGACAAGCTGACGTATGAAGAATTCATCAACAAACTCAAGCTCTAGCCATTCTTTTCCTTCAATAAAATAAGAGGTTTTTAAAATGTTAAACTGCATTTCTTGGTACTGTATGAACACTTTAAAATATACAACATATTATTTGTTTGTGTTTGGATATCACTGGTTGTTTTTTTTGTAAAGAATGAATATAAACAAACCACACCATCTATAATATAATTCGGTCAACATAATGATTCTAAGTGCTGGCTAAGGACTTGGTAAATATAAAAATGTAAAACTATGTGCCAGTTGATTTATGGTACAATTAGAATTAGGAAATGGAGGGCTGGGAAGGTGGCTCAGTGGTAGAGTGCTTGCCTTGCATGCCTGAGGCCCTGGGTTCCATTCCTCAGCACCGCATAAGCAAAACAAAGAAAAAAGCCGGAAGTGGCACTGTGGCTCAAGTGGTAGAGCGCTCGCCTTGAGCTGAAGAGCTGAGGGACAGCGCCCAGGCCCAGAGTTCAGGCCCCATGACCGGACCCAAAAAAAAAAAAAAGAATTAGGAAATGGAGTTGTTCTTTGCAGAATGATATCATATTGAAGAAATAAGAAAAGTGTGGGAATATATAAATAACATACAAGTGTTAATGACGTTATTTATTTATTTATTGTTGTGCTGATTCTGGGATTTGAACTCAGAACCTCGTCAACTCTCCCTTTATATTTTTGCTCAAGGCTGCAGCTGTACCATTGGAGTCACAGCTCCACTTCCAGATTTTTGGTGGTTAACTGCAGATAAGAGTCCCATGGTCTTTCCTGCTTGTGCTGGCTTTCAACCACAATCCTGTTTTCTTTGCCTCCTGAGTAGCTAGGATTACATCCCTAAGCCACTAGTGTTTGGCTTCAGAATTCAATTTTGAAAAGCATCATAATATACTCCTAGGAAGTTCTTAGTACAAATATACCAAATAAACATTTAAAACATTAAAATGAATAAAATAATAATTAAATTCAGAATCATTAAATGTAGAATATAACGAGCCAGAAAATATTCCAGAATTCATAAATTTTGGTATTAATATTGTTATATACTTAGGAATGTTTGTATATCTATCTATCTATCTATATATATATATATATATATCTTTACAATAAGCTATTATAAGATATTTAAGTTACAATGAAGATACAACTTTTACTAAAGGACTCATTTGATATCATGTGAACTGTATTATGTATGCAGTTTCTTGAGACTGAAAAAAATGTGTCAAGTCACAAATATTTTCTATAACCAAAGTGTCACATACACTCAAATTTATTTAAATGGGAAAACGAGAAATTGAAAACAGAAGAGCCGTTAAGTTCAAGAGGGAATTATTTAGTTACATAAGATTTTAATCACAATAGTCTTATCCTGGAAAATTAGATAAGCTTTGCCAATCATATATGATCTCTGAAAAATTGTAACTGGTATGGTAGTGATAAAATATTTAATACTTTTCTTATCTGGTCTTTCCTATTCCTATCTGTAATAGCAAACAAGCTGTAGGCATATGAATTTAGTCTATAAAAATCATTTAAATAAAATGTGCATTCAGTGGCAAACCTTTTATAGCTCATTTATCCTAGGAAGAATACATAAAGTTATGTTTCTGTCACTGTTAGATATGCAACACTTAAGTATTTTTTGTATTTATATATTTGACTTCTTATTTAGTGCATTTTACTTTTAAATGTAAACCAGCCGTTATGTTCCTTTAGATTTTCAATTCACACTTCTGTATTACCACCAATAGAAAGGGGAAATAAAGTGCCAAATGGTAATTTTCACATCTATTTAATTTCTTTGGGTTCCGTCTGTACATTTTAATTAGCACTCACTACCATATATGTACAACTGCTGTGTCACCTAATTAAAAAGTGCAATATGAATATCTGCCAGGGGCTGCATGATAAGTAGCCACAAAAGAAATGCATTTGTGTTCTTCTCTCATAGGAAACTGATTTTTCCAGAGCTGATGCATACAGGATTGTATGCTGTGGACACCTATGGAATTTACTCAATAGAGTGCTTTCTCATCCATTTAGTTCCCATTATATATGTCTTAAAGTTATACTCACAGATGTTTAACTAATTCATATGTCCATTGCATACATAGTCACTAGCCAGTATGAAGGGATGGTTTGTATTTTTTCCCCTTTTTGAATTCTCAGTACAAGAGCCTCCACATGGAGGCAAGTAAAAGGTCAAGTTCTTGCACAAGCACTAACGATGCTTTTAAGCTCTCAAACTGTCAGGTTAGCTCTGTCTCAATCTTCACTCAGTCACTCTGGAGTCTCGCTATCAGCAAACATGCCAAGCGTGATGCACATTCCTGCTTGCCTGTGTGGCCAGGAGAATGCGCAAAGAGCCACGCTTCTCTCTCTCTCTATCCGTGCCTCTGTCTCCAAGGCGCAGCAAAGTAACCCAGAGCCTGCTCGCTTTGGTCAAAGCATCCAGCTCTGGTTAGAAATGATGAGATTTGAATGCTATGACATAAACAAATCACAAGGCCCAATGGCATACGCACACTGTCACTTCTATTCATTTGTGTCTGTTAGAGTAATGGATCCGCTGACACCGAGAATTACAGATTGCAAGAGCAGAAGAAGGTAGGGAGGTCTAACTCAGCCTCTCCATTTTGCAGAAGAAATGGATGGCACCTAGCGAGATTCAATAACCGCTGCTAAGTCAGTTGGTTTAAAAGAGACAAGCCAGGACTAAAGCCCATGGTTCCAGGTGCAGTTTGGTGGTTTTTACTGAGGTCACTTTCTCTGAATAACATTTCAGAGATAAACTCTTACTTCAAAGGAAGCTGATATTTGAACCTATGAAAATTGGAACCACCTACTTAACTAAAATAATGCCTTTACCTTCATGGAATAAACAAGCCATAATAGCTCCTGTCATAAATATGCTCATAGGAGCCACTGGAATCATAATGCTAGACACAACAATAAGGAATTGTCTCAGCAAGGCAAACTTTACTTCTGTAGAAGGGAGGACCACCAGCCAGAAATCTGTCAAGCAAGTACAGAGCAGACAGGCTGCCCCCCCCCCCTCCGCCATTTATACCTAACATCTGACCCCGCAGCTCTCCTCAGATTGGGTGAACTCAGGTTCACAATCTGCTCTTGATTGGCTAGTTTGAAGAGGGCAAGCTGTATTTACATAAAATGACCATTAAAAGCCTTTGAAATGAGATGAATAGTACACAGTGATCTCAAACATACCCATATCCTCTGCTAATTCCCGAACAATCTGCAGTGTGCCTTCTGAGATGGGTCTTAATACCATCGTGGGGAAAAAAAAACAGTTAAAAGATAAAACCTTATGTTTCAAAAATCCTTCCTTATCCCAAAACAGTTTGCTTTTTCCTTACCAAGAACCAAGCCACCCAGGCCAAAACAGGAACTTTTAAACAATTCACTTGGATTAAAAAAAAAAAAAAAAAGGCGATTTCTCATTTCTCAGTATTTGTTAACCCACTTTGTTGTGTTAACCAAGTAACATTATAAATTGACTGTCACATTTATTCCTCTCTTTGCCAGTTCATAACATTTAGAATTCCATTACACCACTGATCACCCAATATTGCCACGCAGGCTAGTCATGTACCACTTCATGAAAACCTTGGAAAGTGGGATGATGGTTTTGTTGTTGTTGTTGTTTGTGTATTTGTTTATATTGGAAAGCCTGACCCTTAAGTAATACAATAGCCTCTCTCAT